ACCGGTGTATTTTTGTCTAAAAAGCTTTAAGCGCGAATTTCTCATAATGGTTTTGTACAATTTTTACAAAAAAATTGTGGGTCTATAGAGCATACTTGAAGCAATCTTTTGGAGACTTAAACATTTTTCTAGAGCAAATTTTTATATAAATTTTTTTGGCTGAAAAAAAGACTTGAGGCACGATTTTTCACATTTTTTTCTATAAAATCTGTATTAAATATTTTTTACAAAATCTGCCTTAAAATTGTTGATCTGGAAGAAATTTCTGACTGTAGTAAATTCAACCGATGGTTGAAAGTTGCGCACAAAAATTCAGAAAAATTTGAAAATTGAGTCCTGGCTGCTGGCTGTTTAATCAATGTTGAATGTTTAATGCATGTTTAACCAGATAACCTGATAACCATTCAGGTGTTAATACCTCAAATGTTTTTTTGTTATTTTTTTATAAAAATATTAGCTGTACCCTGCTACGCTTTGCTGTGGCACATTCCTGTTACATGGATGATAAATGATTAACGAAGCAAAACATGCGTTTCAGAGAAGTTTGATTTTGCAGTATTTGTATGTAGGTATGCAATATTTTTCATTTTTCCACTCTCTACGTAGATATCGAGGCTAAATGGTTTGTCGGCACGTAACATAGATTTGTCGGCATCTAAACCTAAACCATACTTTTCCAAAGGTTGACCTAGAGCATTACTGATTGTGATTCCGAATGCCAATCGAATTGGGATTTGCCATCTTTTAAATTGAAATAGTGTACCGGTCGAAATCATGGGAATTCTTCACCTTTGAAAGGCCACGTTAAAATCTTTGCTTTCACTACGCTGTCCATCCATTTCTTAACTGCGAGTCGCTTGCCGTTGCAAAGTTTTGGCTGATTAATATTCCGCAACATGATAAGTGCCACACCTATTGCAATTTCAGTATGTTGGGTAATCCCTGGAAGATCAATTGAGTTCAAAAATTCCGTTGGAATGGTGTTAATCGACGTACATATACAATACATATTATTTCATCACCTCGAACGCTGGATTGAAAAACATTATTGAGTTGATAGACATGCTTATTCTACGTGGCAAGAATTGCTCATTCTCTGAGCCAATCGTGATTCCTATATTTAATTTGAATATCCGGATTTGAATATCCGATGCTTCTAAGTTACAAAAATTTTCAGGCAATAAAATTCGTCCTAATCTCTCATTGACTGGCAGCTTTCCGTTCCCTGTGTTCAGTAATTGTCGCGAGAATACCTAGGCTAATTAATCGCTTTGTAGTTAGACGCCTATATTCGTAGTCAACTGCAATGTATGTATGTTCATCTTGCCACAATGTTGAATATTTCAGGCAAGCAAGCGGACGAGCGCTGGTGTAAATCAAGAAATTACAGGCAATGTGTGCAGCGAGCAACACCAATGCATTCCCGAATGGTTGAACATTTCTACGCAGCATGGGCATGATGAGTGATTTATAGAGTGTGGTTTTTGTAAGTCCAGAGAGAACTTTACTCCCGAATTGCCTACTTAGTCCAAAGTAGCAATTGTTCGCTAAAGTAATGCGGCATTGGATTTCGATGCCGACATTATTATCGGTGTTATGCTGGTTCCTAACTAAACGAAATTGTCTACTTTCTCGAAATTACAACAACTGGCAACAGTGACGTGGGTGCCATGCGCTACAAATTAAACGTCCTTGTAAAAAATTGTTATTTTAACATTTGTAATATGCGATTATAAATACCCTTCTGTTCACGCTTTAATTTGTGAGTGTTTGATTGGGCAGATCAATAATCAGATAATAATTATAATCATAGTCTTCATAATATTATCCAACGTTATTAAATTGTTCTCGTTGATTTTTGGAAACAACTTTCTAAAAAACTCGAAGCAGCTCATCTAATTTAGCAAAAAAGATTCTGGAAAATGTGGGTATTGTTAGGTAGATGTGTATTTCACTAAGGCAGATTCTTAGATATTTGAAAGTCGGAATAACTCAACGATAAAGCAGACACATTCTCTTTACTCGCAATATAGTACGTAGTAGGCTATGGCGACCTGAAGTGAAATTTTTTATGATTAAAAGTTAACTATTTTATAATGTTAGGGAATGGTGACAACAATTGTATGCTTTCGTTAGGTATGGTTTTTATTATTTTTATACCTCTCTACCACTATAACGCTCCCATACAACTGATTGTTCAGACATGAGATTTATGCGGCTAGGAACATGAAATTTTGCAAAAATTCCACCCAATATAAACAGAATACTTACAGTGAAACTTGCAAATATCGGGCCACTATAACCTATAGCTCCCATACAGCTGATTGTTCAGATATATGATTTTTTGTTATAACTCCTACATTTATGCAGCTGAGAGCATGAAATTTCGCAATATTTCCACTCGTTATGAAAGGAATACTTACAGTAAAAATGGCGAGGATAGGACCGCTATAACCTATAGCCTCCATACAACTGATTGTTCAGATATGTGATTCTTTGTTATAACTTCTCCATTTATGCAGCTTCTTCTTCTTTATTTATGCAGCTAGAAACATTATCAACAGAAAGTTTACAGTAAAATAAAAAAAATATCGGATCAATATAACCTATTTATTGCCTCCATACAACTAATTGTTCAGATATGGGGTTTGAATGCAAAACTCCTATATTTGGACAGCTAAAACCGATAAATTTTGTAAGCTTTTTTATAAATAATAATACAAATTCTACTGAGAAAATCGACAAAATCTATGCTGTATAAGCTTTATATCCTTTACCACTGATTGTTCAGATACCAGTTTTTGCGATATATCTCCTTTATGTAGGAAGCTAAACTCATTAAATTGTGTTACCGATTTTCATACTAATAACACAGCAGTGAAAATCACTTAGATTGGTGCTATATAAGGTATATCTTCCATACCTCTAATTGTTTAGATATCATTTTTTATATATGTAACTCCTCTATCTATGTATGCCGTGAATATATACAGTTTTTCAAATTCAGTAATCTGTTAAAGTAAAATTTTCAGATATTCATGAAAGGTATGAGGCCTTCGGCATAGCCGAAGTCAGCACTGCTCTTACTTGTTTAATTTGTAGCAGTCGTTTTTTTTATTATTTTTTCATTGCGAAATTTGTATACCAACTTTTCGTTGATAATATGATCACTTCGTTCGATAAGATTTTGTAAGTTCTTTCTTCATTTTAACTGTACGGTAGTGGAAACATAAAAAAAATCTCTAGTAAAGCTTTCCCTAACACTCTTCGTTTGGAACCAATTATTTAATATTTCATTTAGTTCCAATATTTGCAGTCTTTACTTTATATAGGTAGGGCATAATCTTGATATTTTAACATTTCATTTATTTTACCAATTTCATTGAGTTAAATTTTCAAACAGTTGGCCCTCCGGAAACATATTTTCGACTGTAGGTCTTTGAAAAACTCTTTAGTTTGATACCCGTATTGCAGTATTTCATTTGTTTAATCAATTAAACAGAGTTAAAACTTTCAAATAGGTGGCAACCCTCCTCAAAAGTATTTCCAAAAGGTTTTCTTTCTTAATCCTCTTTAATTTGCATATATAAATTAAATTGAGTTAAATTTTCAAACAGGTGAAAACCCTCCTCAAACATATTTTTGGCTGTAAGCCTTCTTAAAACTGTAGAATTTTTTACCCAAATTGCAGTATTTCATTTATATTATCAATTTAACTGAGCTTAAATTTTCAAAGAGGTTTCCAGCAGTTATCTTTCTTAAACCTCTTTAATATAATATCTATACTGTAATATATCATTTAGCTTATCAATTAAATTGCGCAAATTTTTTTTTTAAATATTTACGGCTATAAGCCTTCTTAAAACTCTTTAGATTGACACCCACATGGCAATATTTCATTTATTTATCAATTTGAGTGAGTTAAAAATTTCAAATAGGTGGAAACTCCCCTCACAAATATTGCCAACAGTTATCTTTCTTAAACCTCTTTAATTTGATAATTTTAATTTATCAATATAATTGGGTTCAAAAATTTTCAAATATTTAATATTGCGCAATACTAAGAGCTACCATTGTGATTTTTTTTCAAATTTTTTTGAGATGGCATATTTTCAAAAATTAATTTTTCTATCAAAAATATTGTATGTGAAAAATTTTTCAGGAAAAAAAATGTTTAAAATATTTATTTTCATAGAGAATTTTGATATGTGTAGGTGCGATTTTTTTCAAATTTTTTTCTCGCCCCGTTGTCGAAATGTTTGGAAAACTATTAAATCGATTTATTTTTGTTTTTGTGCTGTAGAGTTTTTAAAAATGTATTAATCAAGCTCAAATTTCATATTTATTTATTATTTATGTTTGTCGTCCATCTACCCTAGAAATTTTAAACAAATCAAACACATGAAGTGTGAACCCCGTCCATTTTGGTATGGAACGCCGGGTAGAAATTATTTGGAGAAAATTTTTTGAAATTTTCTAAATTTTGTATAAAGTTTGAAACATCGATGATTTTTTTTTGAACGAATTTCCATCATACCTTGTCAAGTATGGTTATACATATAGTATGTAATACTCCTATATTGGCAGTAAGAGCTAGTACCGTCCGAAAACATTACAGTACAGATATATCAATAAACACGTACGAAAGAAAAGGAACACATAAGTTTATAAATAAACATGTACACAAAACATACCCAAAAACGGTACACAATACATTCACAAAAACGGTACTAGACTGTCTCGCTTTGATTTCGGAATATTGAGAAGTTAGCTTACTGCATATTTTATTAGATATATGCCCTAAGTCCTATTTTTTCTTAAAAAAAAAATACTCCTAAAGCGCAAAAAAGTGCGTACGGCACTCAATTGCCGGTCTGAAAAAAATGTAATGAAATAAACAAATTTCACGCAAAAAAATTTATTAGCCAGATACTGTAAACATAGGGAAAGGTCTAAATGAATTTTTTTTTGGATACTCGTATCTGAGTATTTTTTCATGCTTACCTTGAATCAATGCGATTGAGTCGGTCCAAACGATTCAAACGTAATTCACGTAAATGGAATAGATTCAGGAAAGCTACGGCGGGTAACTGGCTGAAACGATTGCCGCTTAACGACAAGTATGTGAGATTGGATAACTTCGAGATTTGCTGTGTAGGCACCATCTGAAAAGATAAAAAATAAGATTTTACTAAAGTTTGGACAAAATTTATTATTTTTTTTTATTGCTTGATAAATTAAAGACTAGCTAGTTTCATTTTATAAAAACTAAAATTTCCTTTAGCCAGTTTGAAGCTTATGTAAAGAAATGTCAAAAGCGCAACCTGGCTCTCATATGTACTCAATCAGCGAAATGCATAATAATTAGGTAAATATTGATTTTATTTGCATAACATGGCCACAACTTGATTGCAGACTAATCGAGAGGTAAACTTGCAGTTGGCAGCTGATTTATGGTAATTTTTTATTGAAAAAACAGCAAAGTATGAGTGTGTAAAGATCAACTAAAGAGGAGGGCAAAATATAAATACGTAGAAGTGCAAGAGAATAGTTTCAGTGCACGTACATACATACATGAGCACAAATCCATACAAGTCTACATATTTTCATAAGTAATAAAGGTAATTACTTTCATACCGAGTATTTGCATATGCATTATCAACTAGGTATATACATATGCTAATATGTATAAGAAACTATTGCATCAAAGTAAGTGCAAGGTAAGCAATATGCAATTATTTGATTGATTGAAATGGAAATTCATGTTTGCTTAGTGCGCATGGGAGTGACACAAGGAAGATGCTCAAGAAATCGATGAAAGGGAGGATGACGAATCTTTATAGTCAATGCATTTGCTTTGCAAGCACTTACATATGTAAATATGTATGATAAATTCACTTAAATATAGGTTACGCATACTTTCAGAAATATGTAAATAGAATTTGAAATTAAAAAAGATGAGAGACGAAATGTAAGAGAAATAGAGCAGCTGATGCTCGAATTGCGAGACGCATATGATTGGTAAAATGAATTACACCAATCGTTAGTCAGAATTAATTTTATACAGTGGGGAGCAGAAATGTGTACATGGCGAGTTTTATTACAAATTTTCAAGGTTTTTAAAGTAAAATTTTTTTTGTTATTTTTTCTTAAAATCATGGTGCATGCTTTAACCAAAGCCTTAGAAATCAAACTTTTAGACAGAGATCAGGAAATTTAACAAAATTTCATTAAAATTTTGAGCTTTTTAATATTTTAAGAATATTTTTATTTTTTGCTGACGGCTTTTTCTGAGGGTTTTTTTCATATAACAAGCGCAATTTACAAAACTCGCGTTGATTTTTTTCTTCTTTTCAAAAGGTCTTGCATATTTTCGTCCATAAGAAATTCATAAAAAGCTCAAAATTTCAATGAAAATTTGTTAAACTTTTCAAAGCTCTGCATAAAGTTAAATTTATATGGTTTTAGGTAAAGCCTATACATGAAGAAATAACAAAAAATGTTTGCAAATATTTCACAATAATCATCATGTACTCATTTCTGCTCTCCACTATAAGTATGCAAGGTATAAAAAAATTGATAATTACTGGGATAAGTCGTCTCAACATTGCATATAAGGTTATATCGAGAAAACCATGCGAATGATTGAACGCAGCTAAATGGATCGGCGTTAATTTACCACTTTTTCCACAGCACAATGGAAGCTGTCAATGCCGGCTTCAGCGCCAGAGCCATGAGCGGAGCATTTCCAGTTTACAAAAGGAAGTTAAAAGGTTGGGCTAGCACTGAACGAGGACCTTATAAATTACCAGTCTAAAGATAAGAAGCAAAGAAAAGCTGTAGCCCACAGGTGCTACTTTAGACTCGGAAGGAGATTGAATAGCAGAGGCCCTCTCGACGAATAAAAATCAGGCTCAAATCTCTCTAATAAAGATGAGAGGGCTTTGGGTGCTTTCGAGAGAGCCATTCTACACCCTATTCGCATGTCCAAGGAGTAGCGAAACAAGATGCAATGAATGACAACGTTTGGGATAGCTTGCACATGTCGAGAGCATGGATGATGATACTCCGCCAAAAATTTATTTACACAATGTAAGGACCAAGTGCAGAAGGACCTTCTGAGCAACTGGCGGGACTGTGTAAAATATATCGGAAATTGGTAAATTTGTGTTTGCCTCGGCCCAATTTGAATAACTGTTGTAGTACCAAATCAGAGGAAAAAAAGAGTTGTAAGTAGAAGAAGAAAAATAAAATTAAAAGATTTTTACAAACAGGAATCGTAATTTTTATATCGCCTAGCTTTAGATATAATGCGCATGAATGTATGTATGACCGATTGGATCATAATTTTTATTTACTTGGGTTAAAATGGCGAAAACTTACAGAATGCAAAAAATTATTTTTCACTTAAATTGGTGGTGAAACCGAAAGTAAGTTTTGTTAGCAATCTCTTACATAATAAAAATTCTGATTCACCTTCAATTCTTTCGCACTCAAAATGGAGTCGTCTATGATTTTTATAATTAAAAGATTATTCATTTCTGCAGTTACTATTTCGAATTAAATAGACAACTGCTTTTTGTACAATATAACTTCTTAATAAGTTTACATTTTTATTTATAAATTTTAGCATAAGCTCCAACATAATAAGCATGCACAAATGAAATGTAATATAAGCAAGCGCTTGCATCTTTGCATGAATACATATGTAGGTAAATGTGAACTGTTTGTATAAAAACCACTGCCATAAAAGAAAAATATGTATACCTGTAGGCTCGTAAAAGAAACAGTAATAAATAGAACAGCCCAGAATTGCTTTGAGTTAAATGAATATGTATACATATTTATAAAGAAGTCGATTTTACACCGCCTTATTATGAGCAAACCACAAAGTAGTGGGATACTTTAGTTCCAAAATTCTCAAAACAAAGTAGATAACGGAAATCAAAAAAGAGCAAATTCGTAAGGCGAATGAAATACCAAATATTACTTGCGATGGCGCTATGAGTGTATTGTTGGGCTACTAATACAAAATGAACTGTACTTTATACCCTGCTGCAGAAGGTTTATTGCATATACATAAATACTTATGCGAGTATTAACTACATAAAAGCGCTGGCATACAAGTAAGCGAGCAGAATAATAGTCAAAAGGCGTTGAAGTGCACAGTACGAAGCTTTGAAATTTAAACTTTTTTTATTGCTTTAGACGCACACAGAGCACTATTCAAAATAGAGCATCAGCCGCTGAAATGGTGCGGAAGAATTCTAGCAAAAATATTTATTTTAGTTGTACTAAGAACTAATATAAATATTTATGTTGATAGAATAACAAAATATTTACTGCTGCAAATAGGTTAAAGTGCTGGTCAAAAGGCAGATAAGCAGTGTAATACAGAGTGAAAATCCGAATTATAAAATAGGAAAAGGCAAGCTAACTGAAAAGTGGCGTAGAAATAGCGCACGTAGAGCGGAAGTTAGTGTTGTGTTTTTTGTTGCATTTAAGCATGAAAAGGAAGCTACGGGTGTTTGCTATCTTTGTATTTTTATAAAATTTTCGTGTTCTATTTTACATACTTCCCAAAAAAAAAAGGTTACCTTTGGTTTACTAATAGCTTAATAATAAACTTAATTTTATTAGCAGGAGCTCTATGAGTAGTATGTGTTTAAAGTAGAGTTTAAATAAGACATGTATGTGTGTACACGCCCGCAAAGATACTGTTTGAATTGAGACCTAGTATAGACCGATTGAGAAATATGTAGATTAAACTGTACTCTTAGCTAAAGAGTTTCTAGAGCCCTGATTTTCGTCGCCTAATTTATCATTATTTTACTAGAATGCGTACTGGTGGCAGAATTATTAGACCCGCTTTATTTTTACCTATTTTGGCTATATTTATTTGGTTTATTTAATGTTAGATATTTAGTGTAAAAGTGTACATACATCCACATTTCAAACTTTGAAAAAAAAGTTACCAAAACTTTAACAAAGTTTTACCAAAATTTCCGATTTTTAATTCAGAATTTTTAGAATGTTTTCTTGTATAAAATTTTATAGCCTATTCATCTTAAAGTGCAAGTTTTATGTGGTTAAAAATTACCGTTCATTTTTAATATTAATTTTTTGCTCATGGTGTCACAAATTTTTATCGGTGTAAAGTATGTTGAAAATCTTTTTATATGGAAGATAATGCCCAGCACAACAGAAAAAATGTACTATTGTACTAAAATTGAATGGGCTATAAAACTGCATACCCAAAAGTTTTTTTTTTAAACTCTGAACAATAAGTTTGAAAGTTTGGTTAAAATTTGTGGAATTTTTATAATTTTTGTGCAAAGTTTGAAACGTAAATTTATATAGTGTTTGTTGTATAACTAGCTAAGATTTTATAAAAAAATATTAAACATTAAATAAACATAAGAAGTATAGTCAAAGCAACCCGTATACGTATGTATGTAAGTATGTAGCTGAAAATGTAAAACATTTTCTTGCTTTTATATCCCTTCTGAAGGCATTTATAGCATTCACATATATATTTCTTCTTCTCACACGAAGCGTCTAATGCTCACATCTTTCCTTCATACCCTGCTTTTCCATACATAATCGGTACACCATGTCGCATGCGCAACCTCTACACCTTTATCTGTACGCTATTAAGTGACACCCATTTCATGTGACAAGCTTAGGTGGCAGCACGTGCAATGCCATCGCGATAAAAGCAATGCAATGCATTTGTTGCTGTTGTTGTTTACCTGCTTTAGTGGTTTGTGGTTTTGCCAAGATGCGAATTTTGAGGTTGGATGATAAATGAATTGTGCTCTACACACACATTAGATACATATGTATATCCGACATTGCAGCTGAAGCACGTTGCTCTCGTTGGCATGAGAAGTGGAAATCGATTAATATGGGGTGATTGACTTCTTATTTAAAAATTATAGGCGAAAAAAGAACGTGCAGGAATTTTCGTTGAATTTAAAAATTTCCTTTACTTTTTAATTTGGACTTATTTAATTTTTTTTATATAAACATTTCTTTAGCGGCGTTGAAGAGCGATTTGAAACATCATAAAACGAAAAGTTTATCATATA